TCACTGTATCACAATTACTCTACTTTTTACTCAAAATTTACACTTTGAACACTCTATTCCTCCCTATATACTCTGTCATGAAGTAAATGAGTTTTTTCAAGACCTTATTGTCCATCTCCATAGCTTTAACAGAAAAATATTTCAGCTTATAAAGCATCTCCTTATTCTTCACCTTCTCTGAAGCTTAATTCTTTTCATTACTGTCTCTGATAGTTTATAAAGTCTCTTTACATGTTGATCTGCAGTTGTCATCTGGGTAATGAAAAGGTTAAAATCTTGCCCAGGCTTTGAAGATGGTTCTGTGATCTCTGCCGGAGCAGCAGCGGGAGTTGTCTGCGTTGGAAGATTCTTCATGGCTGCTCTGGAAAGTGTGGTCACTGTCTCAGCCTGCTGCAGGTCAAGAGCTTTTTTTCTTTCTTTCCTCAGCAGTCTGTGGTGAATTCAGTCCCAGCAAAAACTGCAGCCGAGCCAGGGACCGGCCTGGCCCAGAGCCCGGGGCAAGCCCCGCAGGGCCCATCTCCCGGCTGGGAGCCTCAGCAGGCCCAGCCCAGCCCCTGCCCGGGCCACATGGCCTGGGCAGAGAACGAGCGGCCAGCTGGAGCTCTGTTACCTTTCACAGCCAGAAAACAAAGAGGACAAGAGATCCCTGACTTTACATCTTAAGGTAGGGTTCACAAGTTGATCTCACTTTTCAATGGTCAAAACTGCTGTCAATTCTTAGAAATGACTGATAATTGGTCAGGAGGAAAGACTCCCATCAGTCCCCAGCAACTTCAACTTCCTTAGCTCCCAAAGCTATCTTAAAGGTAAAGCCACCCCATGACATTACCTTTCTGTTTTTGTTACCATGCCTCTTAAATAAGCACATGCCTTCATAGCTTCCCTATCTATTTCCTACTGCCTTCTGTTCTAATTACCTGTCCTCTACCACTCCCGCAACACTATACACTTAAAAAAAAAAAAATGTAGCAAATGAGAATTATACAGTTAAATTATACTACTCTTAAAATCTTAGCATAGAATCCTGGTTGTAAAAAGCCATCCTGGACAACTCTACTTAGACTGTTTTCCTCTGTGCAAAACCATTCCCTTAAGAATTATTTCTACTAATCTTTTTTTCCACCCTGGAAAAATGTAATTTCAAAAAATATTATGAGAATAACTGCAAAACTATTCATAGTTATTACATACAGTATGGAAAAAGGAATATCTGCACTTGAATCTACAGTTATCTATGGCAGCACCTGAGTTACTACAGCCTTTCCCTCCGTGCACCACAATTGCCATAGTTCAAGGTTATATTAAAGTACCTAGCAAATATTAATAAAGCAAGAGAACGTTTGAAATAAGACTTTGGGCATATCTGTTTTCCACATATGAAAGAGAGGATGAATAATTTTTTGTTAAAAACATTTGCAGAAGTATAAGGAGTGTATATTACTGTGCCTCCCCAGCCTCTTCACTGGACTGCTCCCAGAGTACTTTCTACTGGTAATTTGTAATAATATATTATTTGATTTAGTTCAAAAGCTCTGAGAAGACTTATGCCCCAGGTCTGCATAAGCTGCTTCCCTTAAGAACATGCTCTAGTCTTTGAAAAACCCCAACATGTCTCCAGTTTTGGTGTGTTCCTCTGGGGAGGAAAAAATAAATGATTGCAGAGCAGATAGTTCTGCTAGTGAAACTGCACTCATGCTGTGGGCACCTGCCTTAAATGGTGCCATACAAATGCCCACCACAAACTGCTGCGGTAAAATGGTCCAATTCTTAAACTCCATTCTGGGTTGCAAGCAGAGCCCTCAGCAATAAATATTTTTCAGCAATTTTCTTCCTTTGCTGAGTATTCAGACAACTCAAACTATTCATCTCAAAACAAGAATTTTGGAAGATTTTGAATTTGAGTTTGCTGAATATGCCCAGTATAATGAATACTTGGGCATACAAATAATGTTGTGAGCTATCAAGGGCGCCTGAACTACGAAAAGATACAATACACAAGCATCTCCAGAATTGTCTTCACTGTTCACCAGAGCCTTTTAGCTGTCTCTTTCTTTACAAATATGGCATCTGTGTTAGTGAGAGGAAAGAGAAGACTTTTGGAGTAATTAGCTGCATTCAAGAGGAGATGTCATGACCTTAAGGAGGATAAAAGCTGAAGAACTCCCAGAAAGTAAATATGCTCCATGACACAGACAAAAGCCCTTTTTAAGGCTAATTTACCACCTGCCAAGTGTGGTTTGCACTGTATTGTCTCAGATATAGACCTCGCTCTTGCCACGATGAAAGTTTATGTTGCATTTCCTGGAAGACAGATCACTGCAAACTACAGAAATACCCCAGTCAGTGATCATTCCAAACAGAGATCATTCCAATGACAAAGATTTCCCATTTCTGTCAGGAGGACAAAATAAAAGCAAAGATCTGCCATTAGACTCCAATAGACTTTTTCAGTATAATAAAACTATACTACTAACAGCTTAATCATCTGGTGCATCAGTGTTTTCATCTTGGATGAGTTATACTGTAACAAGGCACACGTTCAAGCATGCTGAGCTGTCATGTATCTAGACCCTTGCCTCAAATGCTAAGTCTCTTAAAGTCTCCCAGTTTTGGGTGAAACCACTCAAAATACTCCAGTAGGATATTGCCTTTCCTAATTGTCCCCCTCTTAAGTTTAAATCAATCCGTTTGTTATCTTTTAGAAATGGTGAAGCAAACAGACCTAGTACATGTAAACTGATCAATAACTGAAGTCAGGATCTGATGTTATGGAGAGTACAAACCAGCTCCCATAGTTCAGTGTTGAGCTTGACAGCATTTTTCACTTCATTTATACAATGAATGATGATATACTCCTAGTCCAGAGAGGCTAGCACCAAAATGTGAGTGGCAGCAGCTCAATCCCAGGGTAGAAGAGCTGTTCCATAGCTACATGGCTACAAATGAAAACCCTAACACAATTTTAGGGAAGAAATTTTAGGGAAGAAAGGCAACAAATCTTAGGTTGCCATTAACAGCAAGTGTATTGAAAACCCAAGCTATTGCTTTGATGACAGCTTTGTGTGAATTGCAGTGAGAAAGCATCTTCCACAAATATCTTCCTGTCAGTGACAAAACCCAGTTTGCAACACTACATTTATTCTCTAAACAAAGGCAAGAAAGAGTTTATTTCCAACGTCAAAGCTGAGCTAAGCAAGTCTTTTTACAAAAGAAAAAAAGAAATAAGACTGTTAAAATCCTTTTGCTCTTACTTACTGAAGATTTCAAAGACAAAGGGAATTTTTCCCTCACATTTTGCCCAGCACTTGCTGAAATTTACACCTAGTCTCTTTCCTGGCACACATCTAAAAGGAAAGACAGAGTTCAAAAGGAGACAACAATTTACAATATTTTTATCTTAGTGCTGTCATGCCCTAGTGCCTCTTTGTGTCTCTGATATTCGAAGTCTTTCCTGATTTTACCACAGAACACCTGGCTACACTGAAGCATTTCACTACACGCTGTAGTGTTTCTGTACATAGGTGCTGTGCTGTTGAAATCCCTGTAAGATGGAAATTTAAATGAAACCTAAATTCTTGGAAGGAGACATGCAAATATTACTATGCTTTGAAACATTCACTTTTTAAGTCAACCAGTGTCCCTATATCAAATATAATCAGAGGATGTTATGCATATGACAGACTTCAATACTGAAGGCTTTTACTACTGCCCACATTACTGATATGTATTAACAATGGGGAGGTAAAGAAGAATTCTTAACACTTCCTTTAAAAATTGACAAAAAAATTAAATTTGAGGGGTAAATGACCAGGCTAGAAGACAACTGTCCTCATGCAGATGATTTTTTCGGCAATCACTAAGAAAACCACTCAGGCTGCACTGTGGCCTGGGGCAGGGCAGAGTTCACCATCAACAGCATTAAGAGCTCCATACATTTACTCAGCTGAGGCATCCTTGCAACTCTGTGCTTTGTTAAAGGGAATCATAAATTTGCAAACAGGTAGCTTTCATCCAAGTTATAAATGTTAAAAAAAAAAAAAAAATCTCATCTTGTACATGCTCAGTAGAGACCAGTTACAATTAATTAATTCCTGTGTTTATGTGTTCTTACATACCAGATGGCTTGGTGAGCTATTCAAGCACTTCCCAACAGGACATTTTCTGGCAAGTTCCTTACAGAGACTGGACACCACTGGCAGTTTGGCAGAAGCTTCACTATGAACAATGAACAAATATCACTGACAGGCTCAGCAGTTTATCTCAGGAAATGTGCTGCTACCTTGGTAAACCAACTCACTGAGCATAATAAAAATGCAGATCCAAGTTGGCTTGGACACAGTGTTTATCCATAACTTCAGAACCTCTGTGGAGCTTAACTCCAGAGAAGCCATTTCCATGGAAATTCCAGCAAGGCTACATTACAAATGAATAATTTGACTTTAGATCCAGCTGCAACTCAAGGTAAGGAATCACTTTGACATCCGTGTCTCCTGTACATTCCACAGGAAAAATGAGTCACCCATTTCATACATTAAATGGCCCATGTCAAGATTTATATTTGAAACATTCTTGGTAAAGGTGACTAATGGCTAAACTCAGAGGGCACATAAAGGTAACATAGGGGTGAATACTGAATTGTCAAAAAGCCAGTGTTCTATAATTTTCTGTAGAAAAGTCAAATCTACGTGGTGGAAAAAAGGACTATTTATGCAAATAGATGTTGAGAATAATCAGGAATTATTAAAGAGAGAGGAATTAAGTTCAACAAAGCCATTTTAGCTTCCCTGTGTCCCTCTGCTGGCAGTCTCCTCTCATATGTTTTTCTTTTCATCTTCTAACTCAGAACATCTACTTATTTCCACTCCTCTCCCACAGTTCTGCACACTGCTTTACATCCAGCAGAGGCCACAAGTAAGCTGGCAAATGATCTTCCCAGTTTCTTTGTATATCAGGAGTAGGAAGAGGAGTTAAAAAAAAAAAATTAAAAAAATTAGATTTACCTCTCCATTGAATGTAACTCAAATTAGACCTGGCCTTCATTGAAAACAAGTGTAAGTCTATCCTAGCGGATTTCTAAACGTCTTTGAAAGGGACTCCTATGCTGAAACCCATTCCTTCAAATAAGAGCACCTCCAACAACAGCTCCCTGCAGCAAACAAAACAGGCTGAACTTGTTGAGGAGAAATTCTGATTCACAAAGAAATAAAACCTCAGCATTGTTACAGTCAGAGTTAATTAAATATTTATTGCCTAGCAATTATTTCAGTTGCTTACATGCAAATGGATCTCTACTCCACTAAGAGATCATAATTATAACAAATATTTTTATAGCTCATTGTTTCCATGTATGTATATATTTGAGGTTTCCACTTGCTGAAAAATCTCACATCCACCCATACGAATTATTATTATTCAGACTAGTTTAATAGTTCTTATGTGTAATGACTGCCAAGATTCATCACTGAGTAGGAGATAGACTTGGGATACTTCCCAAACCATCCCATATGGAAAATGTATGACGGCTGCTGCAAGGTCAACCTCAGTCACTACCCTACTGCTCGTGGCTGTAACCTCTACTTCTTTTAATGGTTAACAAATTGCTTTCTCACAACTAAATTTTGGGATATAGCACAACATATTTGAAAGATGGCAGAAGAATAAATCCGGAATAACAAATGATAGAACATGTAAACCTTAATTATTGATGGTACTTAACATTAACTGTTTTCAGGATATGGCTATAATCTGCAAACTAAAAAGACCTCAGTCAGAAGGACACTGGGCTCCCAGCTAGACATCCAATAAGAAGAGCAATGACACTTCAGCTCTTGCTGTAATATTCAAACTAGATAAGACAGTTCCTGCTGTGCTGCTGAAATCCTGCTGGACTGTTAAGTACGCAGTTATTCCGTAAGCATCACCTGGACTGTTCTCTGCCTTGTGGGAAAGGTGGAGACTCAAACTTTCTTTAAGCTGTGCAACTGGCAGTGAGGCCTTCAGAGCTGCCTGGAGGGTGAACAATGATGTCTCAGGCCAGCTGTGCTCATGAAGGGCAGAGCAGGGGGATGGCTGGCATCTACAGAAGGCTTGGATGAGCAGGACAGAAGTAACTGGCTTGCCAGAACTGAGAAAGGCAGTTCTGCACTAGGAGAAAGCACTTCCTAAAAAGGCACAAACACACACACAGAGCCAGAAAAGCATTTCACCTTTGCAGAGAACAGCTGAATTCTGTTCTAAGCTGAATTCTGAAGCAAATAGTCTTTCCCTGGTGAACAGCAAGTGTCAGTCTTTGCAACCTCAATGAACTATCTCCTGACACAATTTCAGACAGCTATAGACCTGCATAACAACTTTGAGTGTCCAGTCTTCCAGCTTCACCTCAAAAATAATTTGAGCTTTGTGGCAGATAAAAACTCCCTTCTTTAAAAAGGAGTTTCACCCATCTGCTAAGGAAGAAGCGCGAATAAATTCACTTCTTTTTGTAACATTCCCTTCATACACATCTGTCTTGACACATGACAACATAATTATGCACAACTGAGATGTTTACAGTTACTAGATCTACTTAAAAGGATATGAGATCCCAGGAACACAGACGCCTCCATGCACTGAGGTATCACCTCCCACCTCTTTTACTGTCTGAAATTGGAATAGACTCTGAGTTAAAGAAAAGATGGGACCTCACAACAAAACAATGAAAAGTGAAGATCAGAGGGAGAGTAAAAAAACCCTAATAGTTAACTATGAGTAAAAAGAAATGACAAGTTGAGTCATTAAAGCTCCTAAATAAGTAAAAATCACTGGTGGAATTTCCTGGAAAAAATCCTGGAACATTTAAATATAACCCTGTTGTCCACAAGAAAGTAGATGGACTCAAGCACAATAGAAACACAGAGAAAACAGTGATGTTTCTTAAATGTTGCCCTGGAGCCCTGAAGATCTAAATATCCCTGATCTCCTAAATATCATTCAAGTAAACCAGGATGAGAGGACAAGCTATTAGCCTCAGGTATGCAAGCCTTAAGAACATTGCAACACAGAATACCCCTGTTGGGTGATTGGAATGTTAAAGACTCCTGCAGGAGGAAGGAGAGCCTACTGAAACATTTTTGGCTGCTCTTAAATTAACAAGACAGAAGAAAACCATTACACTTTGACAGATTTCCTTATAAGACAGTGACTTTGTTCAAAGAAGAGATATTGTCAAATACAGATCTACAGACAAGGCTGGTTTTGCTTCCAGAAAAATCATTGTGTGGAATGAGATGTTATAGTGAAAGTGAAGTGAAACTAGGTTAGTCTCACCATTTTAAGAGGAAACTGAAAATCAGAAGATCATAACTCTAAGAATTCAGAAGGGATTTTACAGGTCAAAATGCAAGAGAAGTGCAAAAGGAAGCATTGCAAAAGACATAGCAAAAGTAAAGCCCCAGATAATTTCCAGCATTTCAAAAACTCTGTACCAAAGCTATGGAAATAGCCATTAAAAAAATTGAGTCCCGCAGTAGCAGATGCAGAGGAGACCAGTACAGAGGTTCATGGGGACAGCCAGGAGGTTTGGTTCTCAACAATCTGAGAAAACAAGAGCTGAGATGATGCCTTGGTACTCTCAGCAGACAAAATACAACATTATTTGACAGAACTATATAAATTAAATATCAGTGCTTGCAGCTCAACTTGAAAAATCTTGTTGATATCTGAATAAAAAAAAATGATAAACAGGTGAAATCAAAAATAAAACATAAGGACAGTTCCTACTGAAAGACTGAGTCAAATGCAAGCTACAGTGGGAAGGTAAAGAGCAGCTAGGCTTGTTAGAAAGGGTGAGAATATCAAGAATAAAAGCATGTGTAGCTTTTGGCTTGGTTTAGGGAACAGATATGATGAGAGAAAAAATAAATACCAAACCAATGTAGGACACAATTACAAAGTCCCAAGAAAAGACAAAACCTCATGGAAGGCCCTGAAGGTCAGTAGGATTACAGCAGCAAGACAAGGCCAGCCCACATTTACTCCATCTGGAGCTATGCATATGATCACAGGGCAGTGCTGCTGTTGTCACTACTGCTTATGTGCTATAGTGTTTCTTAAAGTTAAGAGAGTTTATACTATTATTTTAAAAGGAATGTGGCTTCAAAACCCTTCAAGCAGTTCTAAACATCTCAGGTCATTATTTCCTCAGCATATTTCAAACTCAGCAAGCAGACACTACAGTTCACATTCTGTCCAGCTCTCCCCAGGCTCAGGGGAGCAGTATGTCACTTCACTGTCTTGTTTGTAATTTGAAGATTATGCTGGTACACATGAGTTTTGGAAAACTCAGGTCATATACTTTGGCTCAAATGAACATAAACCAGAAACTTGGATATGAATAACCAAGTTTACACAAAGAAATCATTATCATGACCCTTTCATAATCAGCAGTGCTACTGTAGCAAGAGCAGACATTTCTCCTTGCTGCCAGGACACAGCCTGCCAAAGGACATCAACATACACACTTATGCAGAAAGAAACTCGTGGTTTTGATTTCCTATTATGGGTGTGAATGAATACAAAACTTCAAAACAAAATTTCACTGAAATTAATGAGTTCTGCATGACAGAAAAGAACTTGCAGACCCAACATAAAAGTTAGAAAAAATTGGTGGAAACTACTTAGAAGATCAGTTGAAAAGTTAATGAATTTCAATGAACCCAATTATTAACACAGATTCTGAGTTTCATCAGTATCCTGGCCAAATAGGACCACAAGCAGAACCTCTGTCGTGGTTTTAAAGCAGCAACTAAAAAAATTACTAGAAAACTTACTTATTTCTTGCTGTGAGATGTGGATTAGAACAAGAGCAAAACAGGCTTAAAACTTAAAAGGAATAAAGTTTATTAACAGAACTACAAGAATAAGAAAACCAGAATAACTTCCAGAAAACCTCTTTCTCCCCCACTACTCAACCATTTCTTTGTTCACATGACAACATAGAGACAAAAAACTTGAATCTATGGTGTTTAAATCAGTCCCAATGCCTATTAGAGTCTTTTCATCAGTCTTTGTAGAGAAACAGAAGTCTTCTGCTAATCTATGGAGTTTCTCACAAGAAAACTATTTCTGTTATAGTTTCTTATTTCTCTGATGCCAGCTGCCTGGAAATCCGTCATCAGATTTTCTCCGCCCATTTCACATCACTCTGAGGTGTGTTATGGGTCATGAGTCTGGGGATGTCATTTTTAAGGATGAGTTATTCAAAGGCAAAAGTTCTCTTCATCTGTCTCTGTGAGCCTCCCTGGAAAACAGAAGTTTTCTCTTTGCCTCAAGTGGCCCCAAATCTTCAACTATTACTTCTCTTTCTGTTCCAGCACCTCACTGTATCACAATTACTCCACCTTTTGCTCAAAATCCACACTTTCAACACTCCGTTCTTCCCAATATACTCTGAGGAGTTTTTTGAAAAAAAGGAGTTTTTTCAGAACACTATTGTCCATCTCCATAGCTTCAACAGAAAAAATATTTCAGCTTAATTAAAGCATCTCCTTATTCTCTACCTCTTCTGAAGCTTAATCCTTTTCTTTACTGTCTCTGATAGTTTATAAAGTCTCTTTACATGTTGATTACTCTCTCTTTCTTTCTCTGGAAAAAAGGATTAATCTGCAAGTCTCATCTGGGTAATGAAAAGGTTAAAATCTTGCCCAGGCTTTGAAGATGGTTCTGTGATCTCTGCTGGAGCAGCAGCGGGAGTTGTCTGAGATGGAAGATTCTTCATGGCTGCTCTGGAGAGTGTGGTCACTGTCTCAGCCTGCCGCAGGTCAAGAGCTTTTTCTTTCTTTCCTCTGCAGTTTCTGGTGAATTCAGTCACAGCAAAAACTGCCGCCGAGCCAGAGACCGGCCTGGCCCAGACAGAGCCCGGGGCAAGCCCCACAGGCCCCATCTCCCGGCCGGGAGCTGCGGCAGGCCCAGCCCAGCCCCTGCCCGGGCCGTATGGGCTGGGCCGGGCCGGGGACGGGAAGCCAGCTGGAGCTCTGTTACCTTTCACAGCCAGAGAAAAAGAAACAAAGAAATTCCCAGGCTTAGGTCTTAAGGTGGTGTTCACATGTTGATCTCACTTTTCAATGGTCAAAACTGCTGTCAATTCTTAGAAATGGCCAGCTGTTGGCTAGGAGACAAACTCCCATTAGCCTTCTGCAGTTTTAACTTCTTTAGGTGTTTCTCTTTGTTTTCTTAAATGGCAATCTATCATAACCTCATACAAAGGAAGACGGAACCTGAAGAAAGCTGCGGAAACTATGCATAGATGATGGCACAATTGTGCCTTCTGACTCTGAAATGCATTATTCCTCCTCCCCATCCTTGAGTTCATTTGTTTATTCTTCATGATGAAAGGAGCACAACTATGGTCAGCAGAACCATAGGGGATAACTGCTGGAGTCTAATGGAAGAAATTATATATTCATGAAGCGCAAAATGAGAAATTATTTAGAAAAGAATATCGTGCTTGGCAGCTACATTCCAGAACACAGGCAGGTACAATCAAGAAGCGATGAAAGTCATCTAGGACAGCAGATAGGGACATCCTGGGGATGAAGCATATTTCTCTAGGACCTCTTCTGGGCAGCTGGGTTGTTTAGCCTCTCAGAGGAACTTTTTGACCTCTCCTAGCAATAATTACAAACTTCGCTCAAAACTTTGCAGATGAGAATTCTATTTTCTCACTTTTCAGTCAACAAATTCCTCTTTTGCACCATATCTAAACTGTCCAGAAATGATTGAGAAATAAAACAAATGTGGAAAGTGATATGCAAATCATCCAAGGAGCAAGGCACAGCCACAAATCAACAGAAATCTGAATCCAGTTAGGCATGTTTGCTGCTTTCTTGCACAAGCAGGACAATCTTCTCACTGCTGCTCTGGCAGAAGGGAACCTTGTAGATTGTCCACCAGCAATCTTACACAGACTTTGCTGTTCAGACAATTCTTTACACTCTAGAAACACACAGAAAGATTGTGGTTGCAATACTCCCTGGATGTCTGTGTTTACTGCGGGGCCTAGAGCTACCACTGTCTCCAGCTGAGTAGCTCTTGCCTGGGGAGCTGAGATTTATGCAGAGCAGGCTCAGCATGGTGAAATTTCAATACTACAGGGCTGTCTGTAGTATTTGCTTTAAGAAAATAAATATTTAGCTTTGGAAGATTACATGACAGGTACAGACAGGTATTACTTGCATGGTCATGAATATTTCCAAGTACTCTTCGGAAAACAAAACCAAACTCTGCAGAACTGATTGCAGAGCCAGCAACTATATTTTAGCATAAAGGCATCATTATAGTGAGGTAGAATGGGACAAGACAGCAGAGCAGAGATGTACAGCAGCTTGCTGGGACATGTCACTAGCAGCCCCAGGAGTTTACAACCACATAACACATCATATAAACCCATCTGCAACTTTATTCAGTGTCCTGGGCTGACTGACACCATGTAGGTAGAGTCCAAGTACCTCTCCAGCAAAGCAGAAATGACTTAAACAAGGTTTACAAGTTCATCTGCATTTACTCATTTTAATTTCTCTTTCTCTTTGAGCAGTAGTTCAAAGCTGAGTAATTCAGCTTTTAAAATAAAAGAATCACATCATAATAGAGAAAAATATGCCATTGTATAATATATTAAGGAAGTTTTTCAGAATACAATTCTAACCAAAGCTGGCATCAAGCTATTTTCAGCAAGTAGCCAATTTTTAAATTAAAAAAACCAAACTCTAAAATAAGACATGGAGCAAAAGAGGGGCGTAATCAAGATAAAAATATATAAAGAAAATATGCATGACTGCATGCAAAAAAATTGTTTTAAAAGTGATGTTGCAATTTCAAAACTAACAACATGAGAAGGAAAGAGTGTTAAAATATTTTTTAAATCTCAAACACTAAATAATGGTGCAAACAAATGAAACTAGATGTCAGCATTTCCTCAGTCCTGCCCTTTGACATACAGTTTGAAAATCTCACTCTTGCAACTTGTATGAAGAGAAAGACCCCAAATGGCTACAGGATCTTCAGCACTACACATTTGCTGTGTGAAACCTTGGTCCAGGATCATGAAGTTGCCAAGAGAATTTCTTTTTTTTTTTTTTTTAACCTGAAACTTGTCTTAGGTACTTGATTTCTGAATACAAAAATCAGTGCTATCTCTAAATTGGGCAATTGTAAATGTGTGTAAAGAGGTGCTTACACAACTTTGATGCAACCTGGAGATGAAAGTGGGAGACACCCTCAGTTTATATTCTACCCTTTCCTATCTGATTCCTGCCTTGTGGCATTAAAACATCCCATGGAAATCATTAATGGGTTTGTACAAACTCTTTTCTTCCCTTAGCCCTCAGACAATATTGCTTCCAAGCACACTGTTAGATACAGAAAAATCACATCTAGGGATGACTTAGATTTTTCAAAGTAAATTATAAATCAAGGCAAATAATTGCCAAACAATGGTTTTCCACACTCAATCAGATCGAGAGCTCAGTCTGTCATCTTTCACGGCATCATAGAATAATTTCAGTTGGAAAATACCTTCAAGATCTTTGAGTCCAACTGTTCCCAAGGTAACTGCCACTATGTGATATTCAGACACCAAAAGCAGAAGAAAAAAGTCTAGTCATGCCCCATGTCTCCATGTCCTTCAGCACAGGCCAAGTCACAACACCTGGTCAAAATCACAGAACAGGAAACAACAGATCCAGCTTTCAAGTATAAATAGACCCTTAAAAATCTAGGGCATCTCAACATGCAGAAGTACATATCCCAAAGCTATCTATGAAGTTGGTTTGACTTTCCTATTACTTTACTTTGAAACAGCTGGCTTTCAGTTTTACTATTTCTTCCTGTCTTGACAATGCCACGTTACCCTGTGTGTTGGTTTTCAATGGCTTTTTTCTTGGTAGTGTGAGGGCCACAGAGGCCACGGAAGTTACTAGAAGCTTCCACCATGTCTGGTAGAGCCAGTCTCTGGCAGCTCCAAATGTGGACATGCCTCTGGCCAAGAGTGGGCCAATTAGAGATGGTGGCAATGCCTCTGTGATAACAGATTTAAGAAGAAAGAAAAACTAAGTTTGTGGCTCATTTGTAATTTTCCAGTCAGAGAAGAGTGCAGTGAGAGTATGTGAGAGGAGAACAACACGGAGACACCAAGATCAGTGGAGAGGGAGGGGGAGGAGGCAATTTAGGAACCGGAGCCAAGATTCCTCTGCAGGCCATGGTGAAGACCATGGTGAAGCAGCTGTGCCCCTGCAACCCAGGCAGATCCACAGGGAATGCAGAGATCCATCCATAGCCCGTGAAGGAGGTGCCCATGCTGGAGCAGGAAGATGCCTGAGGGGAGGCTGTGATCCAGTGGGAGACTCATGAAGAGAGGGCCCCTGCTCCCATGTTGGAGCAGCCTGTCCTTGGAGGACTGCACCCTGTGGAAGAGTGACCCACACCACAGCAATTTTGGGAGGGCTGTTACCCAGGGGAGAGACTCAAGTTTCAGCAAGTCAAAAGGAACTGTTGCACATGAGATGGAGCCACATCAGAGTAGTCCAGAGAGAACTGTCCCTCATGGGAAGGACCTCACAGTGCAGCAAGGGGAACAACTCCCATCCCTGAGCAATGGGAAAAGCTGTGAGTGATGGACTGACCATAACCCCCATTCCCTGCCTCTTCCTACTGCTGGGTTAGGAGGTACAGCTGGAAAAGAGAGAGGGATGGGGGAAGGTGGTTTTAGGGGCTTGTTTTGCTTCTCATTACCCTTCTCTGATTTTGTTAGCAATCAATTTACTTTATATCTCTAAATTGAGATTTTTTTTTGCCCTTAATGGTATTTAGTGAACAATCACTCCCAGTCCTTATCTCAACTCATGAACCCTTAGTTTTATTTTCTCCTCTCTGTCCAGCTGCAGAGGGGGGTGAGCGAGTGGCTTTTGTGGGTGCCTGACATCCAGCCAGAGTCAAACCACAACACCCTGTTAGCTCAATAATGACAAGGCTGATGCTAGAGGCATACAGGAGGCCCAAGGGACATAGCACGCACCTTGGCTCAAGGAATACAGCATTTAGCTGGCTGGGAGCCATCACTGTTTCCTCAAAAATGAACTAACAACACAGACTCCTCTGCCAAGTCAAACAACACCACAGCATCAGCTGGGTCACCACAGCATCAGCTGGCCTCTGTGTGTGTGGCATTGCCCAGAGGCTGCAGGACCCAGGGGCACATGTGAGGTGGGGGGCTCCTGTCCACAGCTCTCTGTCAGCATGGAGATCTCAGAATCACCTACCAGGGGTACCGAGTAGTTGGGAGCAGTAATTACACAGTTGTCTTTAAGTGGGTCATACTGCAAATTTGTTCTCATGCCTCATGTGGGAGGCAGTCATCAGAGGAAATGTATTTCTGTAAAAGATGTGACATTTGAAAAAATCGAATTCTACCCAAAATAAAGCAGCAAGGCAAAATGCTACTAGAGGAAGCTACTACACAGGAATGCTCTCAGAAAATAGCAGCCTGGGAAGCTTTACAAGCTAAATATCAGTACTGTGGTACAGAGTTAAAGAACTAATGGGCTGTGTATCTCATTCACAGAAAAAATATTTTCAGTAAAGATGCATGTATACATCTGCCATAAATGTTTAACTCCCTAGCAGTTTGAATTAAACAGGCTGAATAGAGCAATCATTTTGAAGCAGCCTCTGTTTCCAGACACAGGTAACACTACCCTCTGCTGTCGGAAACCACAAAGTGCCACTGCAGCTAGCACAGCCAGCACAGCCCAGCTACAGGGAAGCCTCTGTCCTTCCCAAGCCCAGCTGCAAGTCACTGCTTTCCCTGGAGAGCCACCCTTAGCCAATCCCAGCTGCTGTCCTGAGGGTGCTGCGAGGGCAGCAGGGAGTTGCAGAGTCCCCTTGGTTCTGGCACCTCAATGCAAAGTGCACTAACTTGCATTGCTTAAAGTGTGTTTGTACTAAATTACATTCAGGCCTTTGCTCTTGTTTCTATGAACTTGTAAATTATGCTAGGTACGAATGATTTCAAAATGAGGTTCAGTCTTTTATTACCTTGTCCTCATGCCTCATTCTGTTCCCTGTTCAAGTTGTAAAGTGATGTGAACCAAATATTTACTCCCTAGAATGCTGAATAAGAAATATAGTTGCTCTGTTGCAATCAACAGCCTGAAATCCAAGTCTAAGCTCAGCCTGTGCCCTACAGAGCAAAAGCCAGGGCTGCAGAAGCATAGCCTCTTCCAGGGTACCTCAGTTTGTGCTGAAGGGTCTGTCTTAACCCCTCAGGCAGCCTCTTCCTTCCACCAGGATGGATTGTAGGATGCAGACAGCAGGCAGCACTGTCTTCTGCCTTCTGAACATCTAGGAATTCCCAAATCTCAGGCTTAGGACATGCAAGAGGGACTAGCTGCAGCAGTGTACGTATGTGCTCATGGGGTAAGCAAGGAGAAATTAAAATGAAAAGGGCAGTCATATTCCCAGTACCTGGAGTTTCTCTGCTAGGAAATATGTTATCTAACAGTCTGTTTCTCTGGCACTTCTTGCACTTGAAGGCATGTGAAACCACACACCTTTACACGGGTCACAGCAAAAGGACATGGCACCAAATCTTTCTGAGAGTGAAGGAGATAGAGAAAACACATCCAGCCTAGCAGTCCTTTCACAAAAATCACACTTGCTCATCTACTGATCTTCTGAAACCCTCTGAAAACAGAAGTATCCATCACTGCTCTTCTTTCAAACTGCTACAAAAGCCTGCAACAACTGTTTTACATACAGCTCAGTCCAACTTCCATCCAAGAGTGGCATGTCCCTTTCCCCAGATTCTAACTATGCTGAAAATGTGTTATCCAGGTTTGCTGCTACTGTTGATACAGATCAGCATGTAACAGTGAGATAGCACAAGTCACAGTAGCAGACAAAAGGAGTAAGGTGGAAGAGGACATGGTCTTGGAGCAATGCCTCCCTTGTGCTTCTGACTATAAACTGAGCAGAGTACAGGGCAGAAATTCTCTAGAGCCAGTCAACTGATCACCTTCCCCTTGCTAGGCATAGACACTTACCTCCTTGTGCCTATTTAATAAAGCAAGGATAAACAACAATATTGCTTAATACTTCTAAATCCACAGTTCTAAGTTTACTTTGTGATGTTTGTTTGATTTTATAGGTTTTGTGGATTGGAGTTTTTTGTGGTGATGGTTAGATTTTTTCTTTTTATCATTGAGAGCTTCTCTACCTGGAATAGCATTATTAAGAACTGATTACACACCAGATCCAGACTGAGAAAGCACATATGCACTTACTCTCTGACTGAAAAACATGCTCCTTTTCTCTGAACGCTGTGTGTACCCACAGACAGCTGGATGCAGCAAACAGCTAAGAATCCTCTGTAGCTTCAGTTTCAAGACACAGTAGTTAGAGAGTTATCAGTAACTTTGAAGAGGAATAACAGCAATTAAGCTTTACTGCAGGTATGACATGTCTAGGGGACGCTCATCACAGAACAGCTCTCTTCCACTCAGGGAGTCATCAGAACTTCACAGCCACCACGCTGTGAAGTTGGAAGCTAAACAAACCATTCAAAATTAATGGTAAAGTATCTGTGTAAAAATGTCTTGAGGACATTCTCAACTCTCATGAAATTGGTGAGTTAACAGCAAATCCAGCAAACAGTTAATGTAGATACTTTAAAGGAAGCAGCCAGTCCTATAGTTTGCCTGTGCTTGATGTAGGCATGCCCATATTTAGCACCTTGTGCTTCTGACTCATATAATTTTCAATATGTGACTGTTCCTGTCATAGTATTGTCACAGTACACCTGGCCTGGACAAAGTAAATCTGACCATAACACAAATTCAATTCAGCTAGCCTGGTTCATGTCTGAACACCAGTGGGTTTGAAGCAGTTCACAGTGGGACTAAAGGTGCTTGTCTTTCTGGGCTGGTGGTAAGGTGAAGACCTTGGTTCCCTCTGTGGACATCCTGCGCCTCCCTCTGCTGTGTAGCTGCTTGTGGCTGTGAATCCCTTGGTTGTAGCTGTGGTGAAGCTGGGGTCCAGCGCCAGGATGCTGCTCTCTCCTTCCAGCATACCTCCATGAATGGATCCAGCACTCCACATGGGTCCTACTGAAGGAGATTCATCAATTATCTTTTAACAGCATGAACATTCTGAGCTTGTCAACTTCAAATCTTTTACCAGAAGAAAGTTTAGAAGAATAGCTGAAACTGAAAAAGCTAATTACGAGATACCTAAAGCAGAGAGGGAGGGGCAAACATCCTACCCTTGTTTACAATTTTCTCCTAATGATTCTACTGGATTAACTCGTCTAAGTTCCTTTAGACTCCCAATAATAGAGTTTCACTCTCTCTCAAAAAAACAAAAACAAAACCCCTGTTCTCTGAAGCTCTGTGCTAGGAGTTATCCAGGAATAGGCTTGGCTTTTTGGCTAGAGGAACATACTAGACACTAATGTACCTGTGGCATGCTGGATGTTCTTATCTATAAGGGTCTGAATGTACAGTCAGAATTTTAGCACCTGTTGCATCCAAATTCCCTGAAAAGAGTGGCAATAAAGCATTCCCACACAGCTGGTAATGGCTCAGGTTATTAGGAATCAATACCACAGGTCATCAATACAGTTCAGTTCCTTAAATCTTACCCAAAAGATCTGTCAGATTTCTAAACTAAAAGAGTTGTACAAAGGGAGTAGGCCCATAGTTTAACTAATCCACCAGAATGTGTCATAAAGGGGCCCTAGAGTATAAGAAAGCTCAGTTCTAGTATTGTGGCTTCCTGGTTTCCAGCAATTAATTTTCAAAAGGACAGTGCTCTTTCATACCTTACCATTTATGGTTACAAAAGACTTTGTAACAGGGGAACTAAGTTAGGAGTTCAGCCACAGCAAAGCAAATCCAGAGAAGTACAGGAAAGAAAGAAAAAAAAATCACTTTCAGCTCTGGGCTCCACTACTATCCTAAGTCTGTCATGTAACAGATTTTTTTCATCAGAGAAAGCAGCTTTTCATCAAAAACTGTGAGTATATTTCTAAACAACTGTTTTTCCTTGGGAACATGTGATAGGTTTGTGGCTTTCAAAGTACAGTGTTTTGGGAAGCAAAAGGCTTTCTATATCTGCAGCACTATGAAGGACAGCACAGATAACTTTTCTGCATGCAGACTGAGTTCTCTCTTTTGTAACTGGGTGCAATCTGATCATTCTTCACAACTGTAAGCAAAGGTAGCAATAATATTTTCACAAATTAACAACCTGTAGCTCATACAAGACCATAGTTCTTATTCATTTTAATGGTAAATGCACCTTTAGTCTTAGAATTTTCATGGCTTTGGGTGTTCAGCATTACTCAAGAGGTTGTACTTACCTATCCCTAAGTTAGAGAGGAACCAGGAACATGAACTCTTGAAGGCTTCCCAAAAATCTACTTTTGAACTGTTTCCTTCTGTGCAGCTGTCTACAGCACAGAATCAAAGAAAAAAGTACTCCAGAAAGATTCCAGAACAGCTGAACTAAGCAAGTAACTTGTCTTTTTTTCCCCCCCATTTTTAGTTTTTTAAAGAACCATCATGTTTAAAAGCTAACAGAGTTAGTCTTGAACAACTGCATATTTTTTAGACAATTAAAAAAGCTAACTACTTTAATTCACTCTAGTGGCACAGTCGGTAAACAGTTCAGTAACAAAGCAAAATGATACAGCATATTTCATAAAATAAACAGTTTTGTCATGTTACACAGTCAAAATATTGCTGGTTCGGGTTTCAAAGACAACCACATAAGAAATTTTTCTGTGCACTTTTCCATCTAGGCTCAGCATCACCTCAGTCTGTAACATACAGTATTTGTGGTCCCAGACACACAAAAAGCTTATTAAGTAATGAAAAAAATGTGTTCCCTGGCTAAGCATGCCCCCAGTACCAACCAGAAAAGCCTGTAATGGCTAGAGGATGAAACAGAGGGTGGGGAAAGGGAAAGAAAGTGCTAACACAAATGCAATTTTGACTACAGCCTGTTGTAAGTTGTGGGGTAGCAGGTGAGAAAATGATGAGCATAGGATTGAAACAGAAAGGAAGAATCTAAGCAGTGTTGAAGTGCCCACAGAAACACAAATAAGTAGGTGTGAATGATCCAACTAACTCTACCTGGAGACATTCCTAAATATGTAAATATGAGCTCTGTTCCAGTAACGTAAGTAGTACAGAGCTCATATTTATAAAGCTAAAACTTTTACCTACTGGTTCTCACAAAAAGCATTTGGCCAATAGACTGTAATTTATTTATAATTTATAATTTATATTTATAATTTATGTCAATTATTGTGCTCCTCTCACAAATCTAGCAAAACTGGCAATTTTTATTTTGTCTATATAAGGTGTTTTGAGAATAAAACAAGGTGGCTTAAGTTGGCATTTGACAGGAGAAAACAAATGGCTTTTTTGCATGTACAAAGCAGTAGAGGCCAAAGGGTACAGGCCTGTTTAAAAAGTCCTCAGCACTTCAGAGATGTGGATTACTTGTATCACTCTTCTTGGTATGATGCTGTATTAGAATATAATGTTCATCTGAAAGCAATACGTAAGTGTTCACTGGAGATTCATCCTATAGTGTGGGATCAATCAGCTCAAAGAAAAACCAAACCAAAAAAACACAAGACTACGTCACTGTTAATATTTATTCCCAGCTTAAATATAAGAGTCAGATTTAGCAGCCCTTCTTCTGCAAGCAAGATAAATTCATCAGTGCTATTCATACCATACCCAAATTAAGAGCAATCTGGAATAGCTTGAGAGAGAGGTCCCATCCGAACTCACTAAAGTCACACCACTGGAAACTCCTCAAAAGATAGGAGAGTAGGAGGAGGTAGAGCAAGCATCAAATATCTCTCTATAATTAAAACAGGGGACTACTCCAAACCTGAGCGGATGGCATCCCTAAGATTATCTAGCAGCTATGAATGCAATCATTATACATTGAAATTGCACAGCTATACTGTATAGTTTAACTGGATTGAAGAAATCAGGCAGAGAGAACATTATCAAAACATTTGCAGTTTATACACTCCTAGTAAATATGGAACCATGGCATAAAATTTTCAGCACAAAAATACATTTACATTTTCTCTTGAAGGCTGGACTAAGCCTTGCTTTGTACACTTCACAATCTTCCAATTCAATTTTACTCAAACTTTCTCAGCCAATCAAGTCTTCTGCAGTGCTTAATTTTAAAAGATTTAACAGTTTGTCAGATGAAACACTAAATCAGCTATTTCTACACTCCTTCTAATGTACATGGAGTAAGGAGACAGAAGATTCTTTTAATGTGAAAAAAATAAATTTTAAAACAATGATGAAATTCCAAGTAAATATGGTTATATTTATGCAACTTTGCTTTGTCTTGAGAGCCAGAAAATTAAGGATTTTCAGGAGCAGTAGTACATAGGAATGTTTATGTAAGAAAGAAAAAAAAAGCACATGGATTTCCTTTGCAGTCTTGTGTTTCCTCTTAAATTCTTCTGCACATGCATGAATTAGTGTTACAGATTTTTCTTGTCTTCTACATTTGAAAGCAGAAAAAAATGCACCAGAAAATATGTATTTCAGTTTTAGGGACCACATTTACAGCTACTTTGCTACAGCAATGCACAATGATATAAGCACCCCTGTTTTGCATTGCCTGAAGACCTAGCTGATTATTTTTTATGTCTATAGAAGCACTTAGGGTGATATTTTTAGATTAACTCTTCTTGTTAACATTCTCTGCATAATTTACATGTACTTATTCCCTTTGGGGTAGAGCAGTTATCTGAACTGGGCGAGCAAAGGCAAACAGCATCATTTAGCAGCCCTTGCAGAGACCCAGGGTCACACAGTCTTTTTGGTGTCTGGATGGGGAAGAACACGGAACTTAACCTCTGAGCCACTGGTCAAGAATTTCCAGTTAACACATACAATTTCCTTTTGTGTCTTAAAGTGATGGTCTGCTGGTTTTATATTATTAGGAAGATGAGTTTAGTGGTACATCCATTTCATGTGTGGCTGGAATTCAAGCAGACTTTTGGGTCAATTAGATTTCTTAGTAATTCTTTGATTAACAGTCCCACAGTTCTTGTTTTCCATATAACAAGCGGGTTGATTAACCCACTGTTTCTCAATACAAGTGGGACAGCTCTGTAAATGTTATGCTTCATCAAAATTCAATATGTTAACAGCTCTAGGACACTTGAAGTTTTGCACAAGTCACAGTGGCAGTACCAGTCTTTCATTTTTTTCAATTTCTCACAGAAAAGTAAAGATTAATCATTGTTACTATATGTAAGAATTTCTTGTTAATAATACAGGTTTTCAGTCATCTATCATTATCTCACCATCATATAAGGACCTGATGCTCCAGTACCATTTGGTCTCAGGGCCTGTGCTCCAGGGCTGATAATGTTCCTTTATTCCACTTTCCCCTCTGACCAAGCTGCACAATAAGTAAAGGAGAGCCAGCTTAATAATAATTGGTACTAAGGAACTGTGTTGCACCGTGTTCCAATATTCTAAGTAGTTTGGAATTCTTTAGGGTTTTTTAAGTGTTATTTCCCATTTTCCAAACAAAAAGAAATGATAGAAGGTTCCAGGGCACAGTCACTGATACTTTCTGTGCAAACTTCCTTGCTGCACACACCTCTTCACGTAGTTAGGTGTGAGTATGCAGGCACAGCATGAGTGTGCTGGGAGCATTTGATACCGCATTTTCTACCTACAGACCCACTGACTAAGCAAAACATAGTACAGCCTCACTTAAGGGCATTAGCTCACATTCTGTATTAAACTCAAATGGCAGTAAACAGGGAAAGTTCATCTATGGCAATTTTCAAATTGAGATGCTTCTTATAATATCAGTGAATTCTACATGATCATTAGAAAAACAATTCCACTCAAAATGCTCTATACAAAATTCACAGTGGATGTGTATGTTTTATTTAAAGTAGACATATATGGAAGTGGACAAAATTCAGTATTTTAAAAGTAACCTGTTTAGCTTCTAGGGACACATAAAAATAGGGTTCCACTTTGAAGGCTTCAAAATATATACTTAAAATCTGCAACTAACCAGAAGTTACGCTAAATGACCAAAGTTGTTTTACTGTCCACAGACATCTCTATTTTTACTGCTAATAGAACTAACATTCAGGTGTGATAGCAGTCTAAAAACAGCAGGATGTTAATTTTCAAATACCTTTTCCCTTTGGTCATTAAACAGTTAAAGGGAGGCACTTTTACCAGTGAAAACCATAAGTAGCAGAAAAGTAAAGAACATTCAGAATATATTTCCACTCATTCCTTTAAGAGCTGATGATCTTTGAGGGCTATCTCATCCTTCACCAAATTCAGTATGGTACTACTTGCAGTCACACCAAAGCTCTGCCAGCCTGTTGCAGCTGGAGACCATCTGCTCACAGATAACCTGAAGAGCCTATTTGCCAGCTTTGGTTTGTGCTTGTCTTACACTGTATATAAATTTAAGTCTGAACACAGATTTAGATAGGAACCATGCCATTCTGAAGGCCAGCCAGTAAGGATAAACACTAAAAAGTTGCACACACCTGAAACTAAAATCCTGAAAATGCACTACATAAAGCTGTGCATCACTGCCTTGTGCAGAACAGAAAGAAAAACTGATTTGACATGAAGGTAATATTTCCTTTTTCTCCAGCTTTGTTCTCCTCTCTTATCCCCAAAAGCCCACACAAATATTGCCAGTCTTGTCATTTCCATTAAGACAGGAGAAAATTTTGCCAAATTTTCATGAAAACACAAAAACCCACAAATCTGCAATCACACCTGTCAGATACTGCAGTATCTGCAGCAGATACTGGTGATGGGTTGAATTTGCAGTGAAAGTTCTGGACTATTTCTATAGAAACCTATATGTCACTCTTAATGACTTAATGGCATATGGACTCATGGAAAAATTTTCAGATTCTCTTCAACAAAATATTATGTATCATTTAAGGTGGATAATTTAAAATGCTCTTTGTCAAGGGTGGAGGGGCTAATGCCAGTCAGTTCTGAGCTCAGGTTCAGATAGCTCTGCCCAAGAGTTAGTTCCCCAGAGCTACACCAATACATCTCGGACAGCAGGTCTGGAGCACCTTTGAATGGACAAGGCCAAGCAAACATGCAGAAGTCAGAAATCTGAAATGCTAAATTTTTATCTATTTCAGTTCTTCTGAAATAAGACAACCCCATCTCAAACTGCTCCAGAAGAAAAGGCATAATGTATAAAGGTTTCTACTCTGGGAAGGTTTTCCCTTCACGCAGTCATTACCAATGTGCAGCAAAACAACTCTAACATTGCTAAAGAGAAGCAGCAACATAAAAACGACTGAATTAAGGCTGAGGACAAATGGACTGTTAACAGAGTTCTCCCCCAGAAGTTATAAGGTTTTTCTGCTTAACCTCCTGGATTACACAAACACATGCGTACTTCTTAAGGTACTATACAATAAATTTAAAAAGTAAAAGAGTCTAACAATAACAAAAAGCACAGAAAGTTTGGTTTTGTTTTTTTCAGTTCTAGTTTTGGCAAAAAACAGGGCTATTCCTCCATCAATTACATTATATTTCAGAAAATAGTTACATAACTACAATAACTGTCATGTTTTCCTTTTCTTTTCTGTATTTTATTTTATGCCAAAAAGAGGTTGTTCACGTTTCACAACTCTAAGTCATGCTGGGAAAGAAGTTGGTGACTGCACAAAAGCGAGGGGAGACAAGAGCCCTCTGCCTGGGACTGGGAATGGTTGCATGTTCCATGATGATGTACTTTTTTATTGGAATCACCATTGTGCCATTTTACACTAAGAGGTAATAAGAGCCATTTATTTATGAAACAAAGCCATGCTTTTTCCTGTTAGCATCATATATGATAATTAAAACAGTGATAAAAATGTATGTAAGTATATTGTACAATAAACAAAGTGCTCTCAAAAAGCTTGCAAGGATTTAAGACAGAAAAGAAAAAGCGTGCCAAGAATTCATCAGGCACAACTGAGCACAAAAGAGAGGAAATTATTCTCCTCAGAGCTGAACAAAATAGTCTGAATTGAAACATTTACTGCAGAATCAAAAAGCCAACCATGCTATCAAAGCTTGATAATGAAAAGCCAAGCTTTGCATAAATAAAAACAGTTCAAAAAAGCTCTTTCATGGGCAGGAGAGTGTCGTGTTTAATAAAAATTAAGCAACAGAAGTCATGGTAAAGTTGTTCACGCAAGAATCTGTATCTTACTTCCAAATTAACCATCATAAAAAATTAGCACCTTGCAACAACCCAGTGTGCCACATCAAATATTACAGGACATAATGAATGCTGAAGGACTTACTAATGCCCACCCTTTTATTTAATTTTGCAAGTTCTGCCTACAGACACAAAACCAATTTGTAAAATATTGAAGCAACAAGTTAATATATTGAGATTATGACAGAGAAAGCAAGGACATCCACCTCATTCTTCTTGCTAGAGCACATTTAATCTCAAAACTATTTCTTTAAAAAGAGAAAACCATTCTCTTTAAAACAGAGTAATTCACATATTTATTTTCATTCCTCAGGTTACATTACAAAAGACTCATACATGTATCCAGAGTAGTTTCATAAGAACTGGAGTAAGACTGTTTCTTGACTTTCTTTGTCACCGAAGTGTACTACTGTGAGCAAAATTTAATGTGTTACCAATAATCAAAAAGAAACTCCCGAGAAAAACAGATAAGCAACAGCCAAAATTAACTTTTTCCAGACAAAATCCTGCTACTTATTTATACAAGAGGTCCATGCAATAAAGAAAAAGAGAAGTGGCGAAAAACATGGGTACTCATCTGAGTTCTGAGGCTTACTGAATGAAATCAAAGTATTTCTGAGACATGAAGCGTACTGCATTCCAGGTATTTACTACCAAACTTTAAAATCCATAGCAATCTTTCTTTCTTGAATAACATGAAACTGGCTACAGATGGGAAGGTCAGAATCTAGCTGGAAAACCACAGAATACATAAAAGACAACAGCATAAAGCAGCAAAAACAACAAATATACTTTCCCAAACTTACTCACTACAGCAGCCCTTCTCCAGATGCAGCCCCAGATTCAGGGTGGGCACAGTTCATCACACCAGGATGAAGAAGCTATGAACTCCAGCCAAGCCACCACACACAGATGTATTTGCACATGCAACTCGCAACAGATGTTTCTGATGAGCTTCAAAGTAATACCATTTGTTTTGTTTTTGTAGTGTTTGGACAACAGAAACTGTGTGCAAGGTACTTAAAGTCAACATCAAGGACAAAGTTTTCTGCCCAAACAGCGAAGGCTCAGAGGATGAGGAAATCTTTCCTTATCCCTGTCTACAGGTGTGGGTTAATCTGACAGCCTCAGGACAGGAGGTTATGCTCTACCAGACTGAAGATACACTGGAACGAAATCCTGAGGTACTCACAATACAAACTGCATACTCCCTATCTGCATACTTTCTAACACCTTTGAGGAGAGGGGCTGATAGTTTTTAAATGGAGCAGCACAGTAACAGCAGGAGTTACTCATCTTTTGTATGTTAACCTCTGGGCTTAGGCCAAGGCAATATCAAAACATTCCAGAAATTATAGAGTTTTGGATTTTATTTTAAGCATTACATTAAATATTAAGTTAATACTTTTTAAGGAATTACACCAACATGAATATACAACACTTATGAACATTTTAAAATATGTAAGTTTCCCAGTTGAAGACCCATTGTAACAAATGGTTTATAAGCTGTGGTTTGCTTAGTTCCTTGTTGAATTATCACGAGAGACATCAAGTTTAAAACCATCCAAAATAAGAAAAAAAATCCCAATTTTACTTGTTTTTAGGTGTATATTATGAAGCAGAAAATAAAGAAAGAGAAAATGGCAACATGATGCACGTTTTAGATGGAAAGAAGTAACAAATCAGTGAAAATTCAGATCTTGGATGCCCAAGACTGCATCAGCAATTTCAGAATCCAGAACAAACATGCCCAGATTACAAGTGCAAAGCATTTATATGGATTAGAGCTTCCCACAGTGCAAACCTAATAGCATAGATTTCTTCAGCTGAAGAGAATTTTTCTAGCCAATGCCTATCTTTAAAATGTCTCAGGGGAAGCTACATGTGACGAAGCAGCAAACAGAAATTACCAACTATAGATTGAAATGAGTCTTGTTCACTGAAAGGGGAGGCAACTTCTTGATGTCCTACCTACTTGCATTAATGCAAGTAAAATTTTCAGGTCAGGACCCATCCCCACTTTTGCCCTGGCCAGGTTCCAGTTTAGTACATTCAAGCATTATTATATACAAAAAATAATACTGCAGGGAAAAAAAAAGTTTATGAACAACAACAACAAAATTACTGCTTCAAAGTCTATTTCCACTGAAAACTAAATAATTCTGCATTATTACTACAGGTCCAAATAGCTCTGTTTTACAAGGACAAGTAGGAAGCCTCCAACAGCCATGCTTGTTGTATTTTTCTACTATTTACAACCAGAAGTGTGCAGCGAAACAACTTCATTCTCGTGCACACTGACAAGCCAGTGTGAATTTCTGCACAACACTTTCCTGCTGTGGCAGTGCCCAGAAGCTCTGTTAATAATTGGAGCTTGGCACTGTAATTATGAAGTGACAGTGTCAAAGACAGCAGGGTTTTTTTTGAGCATGTATGTTATTGGTTTCCAGCAACATAACTCCAATACATAAATATGCGGATTGGGGGCATAGACATACTGATGGAAAGAGGGAAGCATGGCATAGCAAATGAACATAATGAAACCAAGACAATCTCCAGGGATGCCAAACCACAGAAGATTTTGTCAGCACTAGCATGATTTTTTTCACCCAGTCTGACTTAACTAAAAACTTTGTATTGGAGTATTTGTTATAATGAATCACCTTGATCTCTTATTTCAGTGCTCATACGTCCCAGACAAGTTGGAGAACTCTAAAGACGTTAAGGCACGAATAGAAACAATTGCAAGCAATTTCAAAAAATACCAGACTTTCCCATGTTACTATGACCCAGGAGGAGCACAGACCAACGTCATTTTAAGCAGACTTTATCCCTCCAAAGGCCTTCTCTTTGCTTTCCTCTGGCCTACGCTCATGTTTACTGGCGGATGTCTGATTATTGTTCTGGTAAAAATTAGTCAGTATGTTTCTGTTCTTTCTGCTTGGCAGTAAAAAATACATATCTAGCAAAGATTGTTGCAATTGTAGGAAGATATTAACGTGCATTTGTTCTGCCTTACTGGCATTTTGTGACTCTTAATATACCAGGTGTCGATTCAAGGGCAGGCATTCCAAAAAATTGAATAGCAACCATCACAGATGGCAACCCATTATGCAAGGACAAAATATAAAACCAATTCCCAGGAATGCCTGAAAATACATAATAAACACACAGACTTAGTTATTCTGTTGTTTCCTTGAGCTTTAGGAGATGCGGCTGCTTTACAAAGCTACTATTCACATTTACTACTAAACTCTTTCACATTTTAGATGGAGTGCTAGTTTTCTGTCTGGTTGAGATCAGTTAGTGCCAGATCCATATACATCATCACTGGCAGACACACCCTTTATACCCTTATACACTAATAGAGTATGTACTCATGGCATACTCATCTGTTGAGAAAAGCAGCTTTGTTATGGTGCAAAAAAGGTGTATTTTTTATCATGGATCTTGGGAAAGGGAAGAGAGAAAGCCCCTCAAAACAAAAACACACATACAGACTCTACAAAACTTGCACTCTAATCATCTGACGCCAATTGTATATAAAGCAATATATGCATAAAATACAAGGTATGGTATAGAAGCCTATACTAAAAGTATGTTTTTCTATTGAACTCAAATCTTAGCCTTGCCTTATTTGAAACAAGTGTGCCACTCAAGGAAGATTACGTGGCTGCCACTTGTATAGATTATAAAACTGATACAAAAAGGAAGTTATGATATAAGGAATGTAGTGTCCTGGTTCTGGCCAAGACAGGGTTAATTCTGCAGTAGCCCAGAGGGCCTGCATGGCCAGGACCCAGAGGTTATTCTGTAGCACCTCACCTCCTTTTCTGGGAAAGAGCTGCCTGCCAGCTGGGGTAGCAAAGCAGAGGGAATGGTCAGGTATTGTCAGGAGTGAGAACTCTGATAGAAATCGTTTCCTGTACACTCTTTTATTAGTATTGTTGCTATTACTGTTCATTGTCTTTTCATTGATGTTTCCAGTAAATTGCTCTTATCGCAACCCATGATGTTTGCATTTTGTGCCTCCAGTACTCCTCTCCAGATCTAAGTGGGGAAGAGGAGAGGGGAGAAGCAAGCAGCTCGTGGTTTGTCATGTTTTTGTAGGAACACTTAATTGAGGAATACCATTCTTAAACCACAAGTGAAATACATCTCTGATGTCTTAATAAACTAGCACCAAGATATTTCACAAAAAAGATATGTTTGTTTCCAGAGCCAAGACATCTAGGAATGTTCTGGTGCATGTAGAGAGACTTTCTCTGTTCTCTAAAAATAACTGTTTCTCTCAGCCAAATTTCAAATTGTCATTGGACATAGGTGAACATGAGATATTTCTTGCATACTATATTTGACTGTCATCTGGGGCAAAACTGGTACAAGCTTTCTCACCACACATGTGATAGGAAAAGACTTAAGGAAATAACAGTCAACAAGTCTGATTGGAAAAAAATATTAGCCAGTTCAAACTAAACTTAGAAAAGCCCTAATGCATTGAATTAATGGAAGAAAGAATAGCTTACATTTTTATAACTTTCAACCACATCTTAGTACTTTAATGAGACCTACCTCACTTCAATTCACTTTTGGATATAGCAGTAGCAAGTCACCAGTGAAACCCTCCACTAAAAGCCTACTTTTAGGAAGGGGACTCGGCCATGTACATCAGAAACATGCCATGCAGCCTCCTGCCACGTGACTAGCATTATTTCACCTTGGAACTTTCATCCCTTCCTTTGCTCTCCTTCAAAAGAGCAAAACAGCAACTACAGTACCTGTTCCATGTATGATGAGGCTGATCAACCAATAAAAATGCACTTTTCACTGAAGAAAAGCTTGATGCCTGTCATTAATCATCATTTCTATTTCCACATTATATTACTATGTTCCACTTCCATTTATAAAGGGGTTTTTTGCATTACTACAGAGTCATTTGTAACAAGATATTTCTGCATTTCTATTTTAGTGTAATACATCCTCTTATAGGCATTTATAGAAAAAAAATATTGAAACAAAGAAAATACTATGCAATACCATAAAGTAATGGTGAAGAGCCAATATGCAACATAAAAACCCCTACACTCCAACTTTACTTTTCAAAGCAAACAATTGATACAAATTATGTCTGGGAAGAAAAGTTACAATAAACCTCATCGTCCAACATACAAGCTGCAATTTTCTATTTTTATGTCCTGTAAAACTCTCAAATATACTGCATCCTACAGTCCTCTGTTTGAGAAAGCAGAGCTACTCTGAACAAGCTACTACATTAACATTCTGTAGCTTGTATTTCTTAAACTCTGTCAGGCAACTATTGCTCTATCATACAGTGCTCTTGAGAATCCAAAGATCCTGGCCTCAGAGGCAGCTACCAAATCCTGAGAGAGCAGTCAATAAGGACTTGACTCTTTCAGAGCTATACCATTGCAAATAATTAAGTTTCTAATAAATTTCTAGCAGCAACATGCAGCTATATGCTTGCACAGATATTAGTTTAGAGGCAGAGGTTTATAAAGTTTTAAAAGGGAGACTAGAGCATTATCACTTACTCTCAGTTTTTAAAATTCATCTTGCTCTTGATGACAGAAGTGCAGTGCATGTACATATATTCAGATTCCTTTAGTACAGCCTTCGCAGAAGAGATAGTTTTATTTGCAGTTCATTTCTCATAGGCATGCAAACATGTAATATGCCAAACAGAGGTGTACTTTGCTTAGTGGCTCAAAGCCTGATCATTATGAAGAACATGTCATTAAATAAGCTGGCTTTTTTAAGGAGCAAAACAAAAATCACAGTCACAGCACGCAAAAGTCCCCATCATGTAATGAAACTGAAGAGTTTCACTGGGTAAAGTTAGGACCAGGTACTGAACGGTGAAGCTTCTGTAGTTCCAGGATCTTCTCTAAGTCAAAAGCTATTCTGCCCCTCAGACCAACAGCCCCCTGCTAACAGCATTGTATGTACAGAAACTATCACCTTTCAGTGCCATTTGGTAAACACTGACAAGCTCTAACTCCACTCTATAAAAGCACATTATTATGGGTAACCCTAACCACTTTCCTTATTGAAGAACATTTAAAACACTCAGAAGAGTGTACTAAAGAGAGAACTGGTACATCAGTCCCTTCTGAATTAGATCTTCCCTCAACTTGAAGGCAGTAGCCCTAATTCAAGGAGTGAGGAGGGGCTATGCTGCCACAGGAGGATCAGAATATTTTTTCATATGTCACACAGGTGCAGGAACCCTGACATGACCTGAACAATTGTAATGAACCTCCCTGAGTCTTTCAGGCATCTTGCAACATTTACCCTACCATTGCATTTTCAGAGGCTAGAGTCACAAGGACAAACTTAACACAGTGCTAGTATGCACTAAAGGCACAAGATTAACTTCTCCGAGAAGAGACAGAGGAGACAGAGCCTGAGTATGACTAAGAGGAACCATGTGCTTTCCTTACTGTCTCACATAACATCCTAGAAGACTATCTGTGTTTTAAATTCACAAAGCATCAAAACAGACCACACAGCTTTAAAACACTCAGAATACTTTCTTTCATGCTGGGAGAGGCTGGGGGGAGAGCAAGATGTTTGAAGACTTTATCACTGTGGTGGAACAGATAATTAAGCAATTAAAACTATGAAAGTAGACAAATTACCAGTTCCAGATGAATTGCACTGTGGAAAAAAATTGGGAGAAGCAAAAAGTCAGAAATGAGTGCCTTTGGCAAGCATCTTAAGAGCACAACTAAAAGAGTGGAGATTCTAGAACAAAGGTGAAAGGGTAGTTAATTTGCAGGAATTTATCTGGTTTTGCAAAGGAATATTTTAAAGGAGTTGGTTCCTAAAATAATCTTGCTTTTCTTGTGTTAATAATTAGAACACATTAATAGAAATCAAGAGGTCTCTTTCCAGCTTCACTTTTGGTAACCCAACAAGGCCCTCCCCTCCTAGATTTTTAATGGTATTAGCAATATCTTCACACACACAGGCTTCTTGTTTAATCATTCTGCTCAACAGGAAACCCTCTACAAACTCATTCTTGAGTTCCTACTTGCTTCCAGGCCATGGAGAATGTATCACCATTTCACATGCCAGAGTAATGTGAAAGAACACTATAACTTCCCACAGAATCTTCACAAAGGCAATTTCGATGAAGGTGCTCTGCTCACCCACTGTCCATCACATGTGCTAGCATTGCCAAAAGCCTCTTCTACAATCTTCTCTGGAGGTACTGAATACCCATCCCAGCCAAGGAGAATAAGGGAGTTATCCTGCTCACACCAGCAGTAACAGGGCATGCTTCTCCAGGCATGCCTTCTTCAACATATACATCTCACTATAAAAGCAACAGCCCTTGGTGGAGGAGGCCTTCTCTTGCACAGACACAAAAACCTCTGCTCTGCTACTAAAACTTTCCAAATAAGAACATACTAAGAAGGAAGCTAGCAAAATTTGCTAGACCAGCTTGCAGAAGTACCAGCTCTTTGCTTACAGTCTCATAGACTTGCTGCAGACATAAATCAGGACATACCAACCAGGCTGCACAGTGGTACAGATGTGCCTCTTCCCTTACTGCCCACTGCAGGGAGAGGCAGCAGTCTCCTCACACCTTGCTGAAAAAGTAAGGACTTCATAGCTGCAATCAATTTCATTTTACTATTGTAAATAACCATTGCTATTATTAAAACCAGCAGAAGCCATAGAGGGCAACTAAGGATTACATGCCAATTGAACTGGAGAGTATCTCCAGCTGCAATAACCCTGCAGAATGGCTTAAGCATAAGAGAGAAACTTGTGCCTAGTAAAGAATTTTCCTTGTTAAAGTAAAATCTCACATTAAACTGTATGAAAGAAATGAGGAAGAAGTAGGATGAAAAACACAGGTGATAATACTTGAATATGAAAAAGCATGTATATGGTGTAAGCTTAAAAAAACAATAATAGTGATATACAACAGTTTCTATTTCTTGGCTTTTCATGCCTAAGTTTTTCTAAAAGAAATACTAAATTATAAGCTCTGGGATGAACATACAAGCAACCATCAACACTTTTTTTTTAAAATTCAACAATCCTGAGCAATATTTTTTCTAATCACTTTCTTTCTAGTTATGATTTTCATCAGCAACAATATGGTAACATTAATTCTAATTATAGCAGGTCTTTGATGTCTGTGCAATGAATGTGGTTTATTCCTTCCTGAATCATTTTCTCTCGGTTCAAAACACAAGCTGAATGGAAAAAAAAGGAAGTTTATCAGAGTTTTAAATTCTTTGAAGCCTTGGAAGACACTCTTATCTCATCCAAACAGCTTGAAGAGAGACACTGGCATGGAAAAGAGATGGGTAAAAGTGTACAACACCATTGCATTGGCTCCAATGACTACAATAATGCAATGCTGGCACATTTCAGAAGGCAACAAGGGAAACAGGTCTTGGACATTTTATACTTTGATTTCTAGCTCTTCTTAGAGTGCTATGTAGTCAGACTCAAATTTTCATCTATCCCATTGCCAAAGCAAAGAAAACTGTGGCAGTCTCATTATTGTATTTAGTATGTCAAGAAACACAAGGGCTGCTTGAAAGCATTGCATTAGATGAACTGCTCTAGATGTACGTGTAGGGAAACATGACCAGAACACAAGTTTCCTCTTGCCTTTAATGGAGCTCAGACAGATGGCACAAAACTTACCATCGATCACTTGTGACTATAATAGTATATACCCTGCATACCATTATCTCATGAAAAAAAGCACAAATAAGGTACACAAAATTCACCATACTGACATGCCGTAGAAAACAAGATCTTGCAGACACCACCACTACCTTTTCTTCTGAGCATGACAAGTAATTTGTTTTTCTCACTTGTTTTCAATAGTAAAAGAGGCATCTTGGCGTTAATCATGAATTACAACCAAAATCTGTCAGCTTTTTTGTACAACAGACTTTTACAATTCCTTAATCTTCCCTCTGCTGGTGTTTGGCAGGATATGGAGGACACAGAGGAAAGTGGAAGAAGAATAATTAAGGACATACAGATGTAATTTTAAAACAACCTTGATTTTAAAAGCAACCAACCTGTCCTGTATTCTTAATGTGAAACAGACATTTTTCTGGTGCAGATTTCTTTTGCAAGCCAGTAATGTTAATATGAGAAAGCTGTCAAAGAACTACATTTATTTTCTACAGAGACAGATTGAATAATTTTTCCCAGTTTCTGCAGAAGTAAACTGCTCTTAACAGTTCTTGGCACTTTTACATTTGTTTTTTAAAAAGTTACCCAAGCCTGCTTTAGTTTATCCTAAGAAACCACTTTAACATTATAATTCATACTAGAGCATACACATGCACTCCAGACAGCCAACAGAGCCACACACCTCCAAGAATTCTAAACATATATGAAAAATAAGTGTTTCTCTTTTTTTGCTCTTTGACTATGACCACATTAAAAAGAGCTTGACTTTGTATTTTAAAAAATTGTGTCATAACAGAGACCCTTCAGCCTTCTGAAGGCTGAACTATCAAATTTCTCTGGTAATAAATTAGTTCACATCCCATTACTAATGCCCAAAACCACCCCTGCCTCCAACCAAACACACAAAAATTTGAGAAGTCTGACCTTCACTTAAGAACTGACCACATTTCAAAAGGTAAGCAGCATTCGAGTATAGTATTATTTATAGTTCTCAGGAGTTTCCACAGGGATCACCAATACTCATATATTAGCTGCCAGAGGTGTGCTGAGAAGTGAGAGGAATGGCCAACAAAAATAACATAACTTACCTGAGGGCACCAACAGAGGAACTACTAGACTACAAAGAAGAAGAGAAAGTTTATTTTGTTTGTTGTTTGATTTTAGTAAAGAGGACAGCATAAATAAGTTTGGTACTCTTCCACTTTCAGATGGGAAAGTACGAAGGATGTAAGTGACAAGCAAAACTTAGATAAGCAAAAGGTATTTCAAATGTGTGCAGTAAGCAATGACCTAGATTTTGAAGCAAGGTACACACATGCTTTAAATTAGCAGAGACAGTAAAGCATAAAATGACACAGAGAAGTATCAGTTACTGGAAGTTAGGAAGTCTTTACGTTCTTTTAGGCTGCACATCAATTGTTTTCACAAACGCATCTCTGAACACATTGAAATAACTCACTACAGCTGCCAGCCAGGGCAGGTTGATAAACCCAGGTTACAAACTACACCATTACAAACTACAGAAATTACATAAGGCTTTCCAACACAACTCCCAATCTTCACTGCACACAGCAACTTCTTTCAGAGCCAGTTTCCAGAATTAAACCAGAACACTTCTGAAGAGACAAATAAACCCTATCAGAAATCTCCCTCAAGCCTCCAAAACTCACACCACAAACAGAACAGACAAACAGTATGAACCGAAATGTTTCCCTTACCTTTGCTGAGAGTGCCCGTGATGAGTTTAAAAATAGTCTGGGAAAATTTGACAATCCCATGCTTGCATCTCTTTGAACAGCCACTCATGTTTCAGATGGATAGAAAGTCTCTTCTCTCTTACAAAGTTCAAGAATAACAATAAAATTAAAAAATGAGTCTTTTACAAAGTTGATACGACTGGTTGTGCAGTGCACAGAACTCCTCTCTCAGGCACCGAGCCCCATCTCTGCACTGAGGTTTGCTACTCTGAAGCTATCAGGGAATAGTGCAGCGGAGCAACGCACATTTCTTTCTAGTTAAAGGTACAGCTCTCCCTGTCATCCTCTTGGCCGGGACTGTACGCACCTGTGGCGATGCCCTGATAGAAGCTGCTAAGCACAGCAACACCTCGGCCAGACAGGCAAGGAGGAAGGGTTTGCCTCTGCAGGCTATGCAGGCTGCCACGCTGGGCACAGGGAATGCAGCAAGAAATTACTGGAGTCACCGGCTGCTGCAAATAAAAGAACCTGTTTATCAAAGACCCTTTTCTTGGTGCCCTTTTCTAGCGGATTTCAATAAAATTTTCAATTTTGCTCTCTTCAGGCTGAAAAAAACAGAAAATAACACTTTATAAAAAAATTTTATTTTACCAACACCATAGTCACATGGTCACATGTAGAAAGCTGCATAGCGTTCTTCCACAAAATCTGCTAGAAGTAGGAAAACAAAGCTTCATCG